GTACAATCATCTTAGTTACATTGTGAGTTTGGGTATCTGTACTGTGCAAGTTGTGTGATACAGGAGGCAGCAGACCCCATGGAAATCACAAAAAGGGATCTTGAGTACTGCTCAAGGGCCCACAACATTAAGCAAGATATGAGAAGGCTCTCCGACACCTTATGCATGTTTTGTTCCCTCAGAACTCAAGCATCAGAGGAGAAATGGTGCCTTTAAAAAGGATTGAAAAAGAGCATTTGGTTTAATTCTCTCAGGTCATGGGTCCCTTCTTTGGAGGGTCCCTGCAGGACAATATCCCCCCTCCAATAGAGGGACTAAGCTAAGTTATCAAATATGCTCTCCAAAAAGGGTACATTTGTGTGCACCCCATCATCTTGAGGGCCTAACTAATTGAACACAGCTTGATGTTAATCTAATTTCTGAGCAAAGATGTCAAGATTGCAGCAGAAGCTAAGAATCAACTCAAGTGGAGTGCAAGCTATCTCCCTTTCTTATTCTTCTTTTCATTCTCATTCTATTTCTGAATTGCTTTTATTTGATTTCTTACTCAAACTTTTAGAATTTTGATTTTCATTTCACAGAGCCTGAATTCTACCAAGTCAAGGAGATATATTTGGACATTTCATTTATTTATTTTTTCCTGATCAATTATCTACTGCAGCATTTGTAACTTTTTTGCGTTTTTTTTTTTGATGGATGTATTTTGAATAAATTTTATCTGCCTGTTTTCCTTAAATGTAGTAAGTAGTAGCCATTTGAAATTTCCAAATAATACATTTCCCTGATTTAATATATGAACCCATATTCTAAGCCCCAAAATAATGAACGACCATAAGAGTGATACTATACATGATTTGTTGAAGAAAAACTAATAATAAAAGAGACCCCAGTGTGAGAGAAAATGCAGTATAAGTGGAAATACAATCAACCAAAAAAAAGAGGGGAAGGAAAGTTTTTGTTTAGTTGTACAAGGGAAGAAATCGAAGTCAAGTGCTATCAATCCAGTGGCTATAGGTTGCGAAAGTTGAAGATTGAAGATGGGGGGGGGGGGGGGAGATATGTAGAGAATCCAAAATGCAAATTAACGCTTGAGGTGGTCATACTCCGACTTTGGGCTCAAGCAGTCCATTTCGAGGGCTTTTTTCTCTTCCAAATGGGGGTCCAATGCCCAATCGAGGTCGAGATGATGTTGGATGACGTCCTCTTGGACGGTCTTCCGCTGGGCCCAATTGCGTAACAAATCAAAGTTGGGTTGTTCCAGAGGTACCGGAGACCTGGGAGTGAATC